TGGTGCTCAGGAATCGAACCCAGGGCCTTAAGCATGCAAGGTGAGCACTCTACCACCGAGCCAACTTCCCAGCCCCTCATTGACATTTTAAAACTAGCTAATTCATTCTTATCACTTAGCTATTATAGGCCATTTAGGAGCCGTCCTGACCTCTGCCCACTAGATGGCAGTAGCACATACCCTCCATTCCTGGTGGACAACTGGTCTCCAGATTTTGAAAGGCAACATGGACTTGAGTTGAGAACCACTGGTATAGCTTTTGATGTAATAAGGGATGAGAAGCTGGGTGCTGGTAACTCACGCCTGTAATCCTTGCTACTCAGGAGACTGAGATCTGAGAATCATGGTTCAAAGCCTAGACATTTGGGCATGTGACTTTTATCTCCAATCTTCCAATCTTATTGTCTAGCAAAAAGCTAGAAGCAGAGGTGTGGTCCACATTGTAGAGCTTGTACCAGCCTTGGGGGAGGGAGAAGCTAAGGGCCTGAGCCCAGATACTTAGTTCAAGCCTAGTATTGGCACTAAATGAATGAATGTCCTCTTCATCCTGCCCTATTACTTTATTTTATTTATTCATTCATTTGTTTGTTTGCTTTGCTGGTCTGGGGGCTTGAACTCAGGGCCTGGGCATGTCCCTGAGCTTCTTTTGCTCCAGGCTAGCACTCTACCACTTGAGCCACAGTGCCACTCTGGCTTTTTCTGTTTATATGGTACTGAGGAATCAAACCCAGAACTTCATGCATGCTAGGCAAGCATTCTACCTCTAAGCTACATTCCCAACACAGTCTAATATTTTTAATTTTTTTCTACAACATCTTTTAATTTACTTATCTTACTGTGTTTGGGTTTTTTTTTTACTATCTCCAACTGCTGCAATCTAAAATTTAAAAGAGAAGAAATATTTGTCTTATTTAATGAAGAGTCCCAATCAGCTAGAATAGTGTCTGACATATTTAGGCACTTTTAAATATTTGCTGAATGAATGAGTGATCCAGATTCAGACATGGTTCCAAGCATTGTGCACATACCTATAATCCCATCACTCAAGGGCTGAGACAGGAAGGACCGCCAGTTCAAAGCTAGCCTCAGCTATATAGTGGGATTCTATCTCAAAAAAACAAAAACAATAATAGGGAAAAAACAATTCAGAAGTTGTGGTCACCTTGGTTAGTACAGGGGAAAATTTGGACTCACAGACCATACAACACATGAAAGAATGTCACACAAATATGAGGCATAAATAAGCTAGGTGCTTGTGGCTCATGCCTGTAATCCTAGCTACTTAGGAAGCTGAGGTCTGTGGATACGGGTTCAAAGCCAGCCCTAGCAGGAAATTATCTTTAAGTAACCAGCAAAAAGCTGTAGCTCAAGTTGTAGAGTGCTAGCCATGGGTGAAAAATCTAAGGGTCATAGCCTAATCTCTGAGTTCAAGCCCTAATACAAGCACCAAGAAGAAAGTGGAGAGAGAGGGCCCAGGGACTGGGAAAATGCATACACAAATCAGGGAATGGCAGTTCTCCACCAGACCAGCAGAAGATAGGCAAGAGGCCCAATGCTGATTTTTCTCACAACTGCAGAATATGAAACAACCTTGATTTCATATTTCTAACCTTCTGACTGAGACAATAAGACTGTTATCTTCTACTGCACAGTCGCATATTTTATGGTGCCTTGTTACCTAGGAAACGGATAGTCTCTAGATACTTGGGTAAGTCTAAGTGAGGTTTGGAAACTTAATTAGATCTGCAAGAACCTGGACACTGTAAAGCAATATATAAACAAGGTATAATAATTCAATAAGAATATGCCCTCCAGGGTTAATTGTGACTCCTTACACATTTGTAGCTAGTTGTTGAACTCTGCCTTTCTTTTCTCTTCATCATGTCCCTGCCCTCACCATCAAAACCTTACAAACACATTGTCTCTGAGTCATAGAATTCCCAGCTTATATTCACCTTTCACGATTCAGCTGAGTAGTATCCAACAACTCCTGAAGTTTTTCTTCAAGCCTGAACTGGTCTCTGAGTCTATTTATCTGTTTTCTAGAAGATTAGGGACCTCTTTAGTTTCTGTTTGAAGGAATTCTGTTCAAAAAAATCACTTATCCATCCTCAAGGTATTCCCTTGGCTCATCTCAAGAGAACCAGAGGGCTAGGAATTAGTGGTACAGGAATTAGGGCTAAGGGGTTGGGAAGGTGGCTCAGCAGTAGAGCGCTTGCCTTGCATGCTTGAGGCCCTGGGTTCGATTCCTCAGCACCACATAAGCAAAAAGAAAAAAGCTGGAAGTGGCGCTGTGGCTCAAGTGGTAGAACACTAGCCTTGAGCTGAAGAGCTGAGGGACAGCGTCCAGGCCCAGAGTTCAGGCCCCACGACTGGACCCAAAAAAAAAGAAAAGAAAAGGAATTAGGGCTAGGGTTAGTGGTGAGTGCTTGCCTAGCATGCATAAAGCCATTGGTTTGATTCCTCAGTACCATAAATAGAAAAGGCCGGAAGTGGTGCTGTGGCTCAAGTGGTAGAGTGCTAGCCTTGAGCAAAAGAAGCTTAGGGACAGTGCCTAGGCTCTGAGTTCAACCCTCAGGACTTGGGGGGGGGGGCGGGAAGAAAGAAAAAGAGAACCAGAAGCTGTGCACCAGTGGCTCACACCTGTAATCCTAACAACCTGGAAGGCGAGATCTGAGAATCATAGTTCAAAGCCAGCCTGGGAAAGAAAGTCTGGGAGATGTGTCTAAAATTAACCAGGAAAAAGCTGAAAAGGAAGCTGTACTAGCCTTGAGTGAAAAAGCTAGGGACAACTCCCTGGCCCTGAGTTTAAACCCCCAGTACCAGCACATGCATGCACATGCACACACACACACACACACACACACACACACACACACACACGAATTAGGAAGAGGTGTCCTTCAGCAGGTCTTGCCATTTGCATTCTCCCCAAGCTGAATTTGAATTGACACTGGAAGAGGGAGGTGCTGGACGTTCATGAGGAGAGTGGTATGAGCTCTTAGGGTTTTTCCGTGGCTCTTCTTTGCATAGGGAATGAGATTCCTTCTGTTCATGATGAGAATTTTAGCGCACCTGGGTCATTTGGTTACACAATTGCTAATAGCCTAAAAGAACCTAAGCACCAGGAGGGTAAAGGTGTTTTAGTATGCAGGTAGAAAACCAAGACAGAGGAGTTTGAATCTAAACTTCGAAGGATTTGATATTGGGGAGGGTCAGAGACCAGATGGAATTAGAAGTAGGGTGAAATCCAGGGAGAAGCAAGACAGAAGCCAGCTACATATGATATGTGCCCATAATTTCAGCAGGAGGATCATGAATTTAAGGAAAACCTAGGACGTAAGACCCTATCCAAATAATAGTAACAATAATAAGCCAATTCTTGCTCACGTAGAGAGAGCATTTGTGTCAAACAGAATAACACAAGGAGTAGAACTGTGGGTCGAGGTTACAGAGCTCTAGCAGCAGCACAGACTTGGGGTAAACTCTCAAATACGTTCCTGAAGCTTTTAAATTATCTTTGGTTCTGAATAGGATCCTTTCAGAGCCAATCAGTTGTTAAGCAAACGTTAAGTATCTGTGATATATTCTGACTTGTATGAGGCCCTGTGGGGCACAAAGATAATAGCCATTATTTCCAAGAAGTTCACAGCCTGGTAGGGGGGAAATTAAAAATACATCAATGTCAATATAGAGTGTTAAGTGTGATGAGAGAAGCATGAGGCTAGTGCTTAGGAGGATGGGGGAGAGAGGAGAGAGATGCTACAGTCATTACCAGCTCAGGCTCTGAGTCCAGCAGATGTGATTCCATAGCCTAACTCTGCACTGCAGGTTGTGTGATCCTGCCTAGATAAACTACCAAGCTTCTCTGAGCTTTTACATCCTTTCTTGAAATTGAGAATAAATAGTACTTAATGCATAACATCTCTATGAGGATCAAATTAGACTATCCATGCCTAGTGGCTACTAAATTCACAATAACACAATTATTTATAACAATTACAGCTATGATCATAATTATCTTTAAGAAGGTAATATCATGAAATGATTCCAAGGAAAGGTGGCATTTGTGTTGAATGTTGAAGAACAAAACCATGTTGCCTGGGTCTAGGAGAAAGCTTTGAATTGCTTTTGATTTTGTAATTATGCATTGATAGATTCCTCAAAAGACTTTTAGTTAAGATAATGAATTCAGTGATAGTTGAGTTCAAGAAGCCTGTGAGCAACACAATGTGTTTTGACCTCTTCTCTAAACCAATTTTTACTATGTGTTTGCTGATTAAAAATGATTGTAGCTGCATGAAATGAATATAATTATTCATCTATTTTACTTTATTTTGAATATTACAGAAATAACATGTATGTATAGGTTTTGAGGGTTTTCTTTTTGTCCATGCTGCCGTTTGTACTCAGTATCTTGAGCTTGATAGGCTGGTGCTCTACCTCTTAAATCAAGCATCCATCTCAACATTTTGGTCATTATTTTGGAGATAGAGTCACACAGGACTATGCTTTCCTCAAACTGCAATCCTCTGTATGTTAGCCTCCAGAGCAGTTAATATTACAAGTGAGGTACCAGTGCCAGAGGATTTTTTTTCTTTCAGATTTGGTTGGAACTCGTGCTTCTTAAGCCGACTATTCTACCAGACTATTTTCCCATTTGGAAAAAAAAAAAAAAAGTTGATTCCTCTGGGTGATGGTGACTCATATCTCTGCAAAGCTAGCCTGGGCAGGAAAAGTCCATGAGACTTTTACCTCCAATTAACCACCAAAAAGCTGGAAGTAGAGCTGTGGCTCAAGTGGTAGAGCATCAGCCTTGGGCAAAATAGCTAGGGGACAGCTCCTGGGCTCTGAGTTCATGTTCCAATACTGGTACATCAAAATTATATATATACACATAGATGTGTACCATAACTTGTTCAAAAGATGAAATACTTTTTATCCTTGTTGTTTATCATTCCCTGAACTTATTTTTTTTCTCTTTAAATTTGCTTCTATAGATTTCCTATTTCTGCACCAATCAAGTTATGGATCATCTAGAAGAAACAATGGAAGATTATGAGTACTATTCCTATTACCCGGAATATTCCTCTCCAGAGCCTTACTTGGAGGAGAAAGTCTACCTGGGTGCTGTTCATTGGGTCTCCCTGGTGTTGTGCGGCTTAGCATTTGTTCTGGGAATTCCAGGAAATGCCATGGTCATTTGGCTCACAGGATTCAAGTGGAAGAAGACAGTCACCACTCTCTGGTTCCTTAATCTGGCAGTTGCAGATTTCATATTTGTTCTCTTCCTGCCTCTGTACATTTCCTACGTAGCCATGAATTTCCATTGGCCCTTTGGCATTTGGTTATGCAAGGCCAATTCTTTCATTGCCCAGTTGAACATGCTTTCTAGTGTTTTTTTCCTGACAGCCATCAACCTGGACCGCTACATTCATTTAATCCATCCTGCTTTATCTCAACGGTACCGAACTCTGAAGAATTGCCTGGTTGTTATTATATTCATCTGGCTTTTAGCCTCTCTAATTAGTGGTCCTGCCCTATATTTCCGGGACACGGTGGAGTTCAATAATGGCACTCTTTGCTATAATAAATTCCACGAACATGACACTGATCTGACCTTGATGAGACACCATGTTTTTACCTGGGTGAAATTTATTGTTGGCTACCTCTTCCCTTTGCTAGCAATGAGCATTTGTTACCTGTGTCTCATCTGCAAAGTGAAGAAGCGAAGCATCTTAATCTCCAGTATACATTTCTGGACAATCCTAGCTGTGGTCATGGCCTTCTTGATTTGCTGGACTCCTTACCACCTTTTTAACATTTTGGAGCTCACCATTCACCACAATAGCTATTTCCACCCAGTGCTGCAGGCTGGAATCCCCCTCTCCACTGGTCTAGCATTCCTCCACAGTTGCTTGAACCCCATCCTTTATGTCCTAATTAGTAAAAAGTTCCAAGCCCGCTTCAGGGCCTCTGTTGCTGAGATGCTAAAGCATACGCTGTGGGAAGTCAGCTGTTCTGGCACAGTCAGTGAACAGCTCAGGAACTCTGAAATCAAGAATCTGCCTCTCCTGGAAACAACCCATTAACATCACTTTTCAAAAAAAAAATCAATGTAATGTTTTCATGTGGGTCTCTTGGCAGATGCTTCCAGATTAAATTTAGTTCCAAGATTTAGAACTGACCGAGTTTTTGGTTTTGGTCAGTTTATTGCCTTCGTATTTTTTTGTGCTCGAAAGATCTTCCTTTTATTTTTCCTTGTGCTGCTTAATGATGTCTTTCCAGCTGCCCTCTGCTGGCTCTTGTAACAATGACAACCTGTACATTTCTACAATTTTAATCTGTGTGTTCAACTAAATCGTGCATAACAAAGATTTGATTCAATAGCATATGCATCTGATAAACTATATACTTTATATAAAATTTATCACAATGGATTAGTCACTGTTGTAGTTTTTCTTTGTGGTTGTTTTCTTTCATTGTCTTTTCAATCATACACAAAACACACACACACACACACACACACACACAAAACACACATGTAATTTTTTTAAGTCTTATTATGTAGCCCAGGTTGGCCTTAAGTGATACTCCTGCCTCAGCCTCCCACATAACAGGGATTACATTTACCCTATCCCTGGTTAACCTTTTTTTTTTTTTTGCCGGTCCTGGGACTTCAATTTAGGGCTTAGGCACTGTCCCTGAGCTTCTTTTTGCTCAAAGCCAGCACGCTAGCACTTGAACCATACCACTTCTGGCTTTTTCTGTTTATGTGGTACTGAGGAATTGAACCAATGGCTTCATGCATGCTAGGTAAGCCCTCTACCACTAAGCCACACTTCCAGCCCTTAACCATCAATTTTAAAAGCTCTAAGTTGTAATATAGATAACTAGGCTTAACTACTACTACTACTGAGGAGGCTGAGATCAGAAAGATGGCAGTTTAAGGGCATCCTGGCTATAATGCTAAAGACCTCCATTTCAAGGCACATATACACACACACACACCCCAAAACAAACCTAGGCACAGTGATGCATGTCATAATCCTACACAGGAGGCACAGGTAAGAGATCTTGGTCCAAGGCCATCTATGGCAAAAACTGAGGCCCCATCAAAAAAACTAAAATAAGGGAGTGAGGATCATGGCTCAAGTGGTAGGCTGTCTAGAAAAAATAAAAGCCTCAGTTCAAATATATTCTGCCCAAAAAAAGACATAATTTCAAAAATGTTAAAGTATATTTGCTTAAAATTTTAATTTTGCACAAGTAACCCTTATTAGTGGGGCTTGAAACTTGGCTCACAGGGAGAATGTTACCACTGGAGTCACACCTGTAACTCTGGCTTTTAATCCTGGGTTGGCTTAGATCTTAGCCTCCTGAATGGCTAACATTATAGGTGTGAACTATTCATACCAGGACATAGTGGGTCTTTTTTTTTTGGGGGGGGGAAGAGGTCCTGAACTCTGGGCCTGGGCGCTGTCCCTCAGCTCTTCAGCTCAAGGCTAGCACTCTACCACTTGAGCCACAGCACCACTTCCGGCTTTTTT